AATAGCAACATAAAAGAAAGACTACTCAAAGTTCACAGAATATACCGCAACACCAAACAAAAATGAAATTGATGGAGTAGAAAAGCAAGTATCTCACAGATTATCAATCTAAACTTCAATTCCCTAGTTTTAAATTTTAAAGTTAAATATTTACATAAGTTTAAAAACAAGCTAACATAAATTAAACAGTTATAAAAAACTAACCTTTCCACACATAAACTCTTAATAAGAATGAAATTCTATCAAAGGGATAAGGTTTCACTCTTTTTATCACATCTTTACAATGGAACTGCCCAAAATATATAAAACAAAAGGCTGGTTTTTGACTACATAAACAGATAGGCGTGGCAACAATGACCATTTTCATTCCAAAAGCCATTAATGTATACATCATCATATAAAGAAAACCTTCTAAAGTGTTATCAAATCAGCTTGTGGCAGGGTGTGTTCTCAGATATAGCAGACCATGATTTAGAGGAAGTGATTAGAGCAAAAAAAGATGGAAAGGCTGACGTTCAAAAAGAAGAAGAAACATGCCCAGCTCAATGTGTCTATACTCCTTGTGGACTAACCTTCTCATCTATATGCAATATACTACAATTTCCACTCTAGTCTTCATACTAACAAAGATTATTTCTCATCAGAACATATATCACAAAGCATAAGCATATTTATGTTTAGGAAAAAGCTACTCCTTTTCGCTACTCCTGATCACAATACATAACATATAACAGAAGAGACCTTATATCGATAATTGAAAGATGATCAAATTGCAAATAGCTCTCTTGCTTGTTCATTAATCCACCCTTTCTGGCGCTCCAACAAGTGTCATGAAATAATTGTATAGGACCAACAGATTCCCCAAGTTGGTTTGCCTTAACAGTTCATATGGTCATTGACCATAAATTGAAATAAAATTAGTAAACAGGAAAACAAAGTTGTATATTTGTATAGGTGAATAATATTAAATACCTTTTTCTTTTTGTGCTGAATAAAGTTCTTGGAACCACCACGATGGTTACACCTCATATTCGACCGCTTCTCAGAATAAGCTTTTGACTGTGCCTAACACCACAAAATTTAATATTAAAATACAATACATATATAATAACATTAAAAGCCATGTTGACCTTACCTGAAACTTTTCACTAGAAAAAAGGTCACAAAGATATATACAATCATCGGGATCTTTAATTTCTTCAGGTTTATTATGTAATGCTTCCTCCTTAGTAGCATATGCTTTGAATTTCTTGTGTAGGGCACTCCAAAAGCTGTTGAATCTCTTACACAGTTTGTGCTTCAGCCATTTGAGTACATGGGACTCCGTGACATCAATGTCAAACTTGGTCTAAATTCAGCAATAATGTACATGCCTTAAACTTATATGGGTGTTATATATTATTTTCATAAGGAAGTATGACAATATGGATAACGATATGAAAGACATTACCATGATACGAGCAATCATTTGTTTTTCCACATCATAGGGAACTTTCTTCCAAGTAAGCACTCTAACGAGGGCATAGTTCCTCGCAACTATTCCTACCTCAGTACTCAACTTTGATGCATTTACTCTAGTAGGTACTCCATCTTCTTTTTGAAAGTCTACATGCAACTTCGACTTCGCTGTTTGTATGAGTCTTTCACATCCAACTCCTCTAGTCTTCCCTCTCACGTTCTTTGCCACAATATTGCCTAGAAAATCAAAATAATGTATCATTAGTAAATAATATGTTATCACAAGGACTGTTTACATGTTGGTAAAGTAAAATGGATTCTTAAATTTTAAACAAACATTGGAGACAATATCTAAAATCGAAGTATATATTTCAGTATGCTTATGTTAACCAATATCATAACTTTACCAGTGTTTGCAGCAATTTTAGGAGTCGGTACAACACTCTGATTCATTCGAACAACATTTGTACGTCTAGCTAGGGTCCTTCTTGTACCAGGAGCCATCTTCAGAATTTGCAAACATCAACATAAAAGAAAAGATACCAGGTAAGATTTAAGTCACTTTATACAATTAATCTCACGAAATTGGATCATTAGCTATATTTAAACATACACAAAATCAGTAAAGAGTACATATAAGCATACCTTTTTTCTTTAAAACTTACCACTATGAGATTATTTAATATGGAAGATATATTATGTTATTGAAAAGTATTATGTACTCATCATATATTAGGGATTTTTTTTTTAATGCTTTTTTAAGGGGATTTTTATATTTTTAAAGGGGTTATTGATGTTTTCAAGTAGAGTTTTATAATCATAAGAGATTTTATAATACTTTTAAATAATAATAGATGCTTTTTATATTAAGTGGTATCACATGGGTGAAATATTTATATTATTATTTTAAAAATCATTTTCTACTACTATATGTTTTCTGAATCTTAAAATATTTGTATTTTAAAGAATAAATTTCTTAAATTGGTGTTCTCCTAAGAATCAACGAACATATATACTATATATTTTGGGTAAAAAAAAAACTTTGTAATAATATTTCCATAATAGGCACACCAACTCAAATCAAACATGCTCAATCAATGTCTTCACCTAACGTAACAATCATAATGACCAAAACACCCATCTCCAAATGATAAAAAGGAAATTCGAGAAGGGTATCTCAGCCATTACACATGTAAATAGCTTATCCGAACCCAAAATCCAAATCAAATCCACGTCAACAAGAAAGAAAAACAAAAAACTGGAAAACCAGAAACAGAAACACGGAACACAGAAACAAGAACAGAAAGCCAACAAAACTAGAATAGAAGAAACATACAAAAAGGGAAATTAAAAAAATATATAATTAAAAGAAAGCACTAAACAGCATAAAGGGAAATTTTCTGTTTAAATCAAAATCTACCTTCTAGAATTTTTACGATAGCAATTATTCAACTCGATATCAATTGCTTCTTTGACATTAATTAATTCTCTTCCCTCTTTGAAAAAGGAAAAAAAAAAAAAAAACTTGAAAGATTGAGACAATTAAAGCTAAGCTTCAACATAACAGCATACCACAACCAACATTCAGCTACAATGTGCTTGAGAGCTCATATTCCTTATGTCATTTATCACAAGGTCCAAGTTGCCACGTGATGATCCACCATTACTAATACTTCTTCTAGCCAAAGTAGCCAAATTTTCAGCTGATTTCACAAACTCTTCCCTCCTCTCAACCATCACATCGTTAACCATTTTCTCAACAACCTTTCTATCACAAACATCTTTCATATCAACTCCAATTTTCCACACCTCAATCACAAACCTGCTATTCAACGGTTGATCAGCTAAACATGGCCAACGACTAATACAGATACAACCCAACATACTTTGACAGCACATTTTGGCATAAAGAATAGACCCACAAAGATATTCAACCTTAAACATTCTCTTTAAAAAATGTATGACAGATTTAATACTCCTCAACCTACCCCTGACTGTCACGTTTCTTTAGTCAATTCCATAACAAGGAAATTAAAGTGTAAGATGCCAATAAGACCTCTAAGTGAACAAAGAATATTTCAGCACCAATTCACAAGTTATCAAACAAAAATCAAGCATTTGAAATTAATGCAATGTCGATACATGAAAATACATCAATTTCTCAAAATTTGAAATCAGATTCAATGTTACCATGTGAGAGAACCAAAGAACCAAAATTTGTACGTGCCGGAGGTTAGGGACTGCCTCGTATTGGATGAATGAAGGAAGCCAAGAAGATCAATTGAAAGATGCAGATGCGTGGAGAAGAGATGACGTGAGGTTTTGCATTTGGGAAATTGGGGCAAACACCATTAAGATGACGCGTCCAGAAGAGAAGAGCTAGGTAAGGTTATGCGTTTGGGAAATTTGGGGAAATAGCTAGGGATTTGCATGGAGAAGAAATTGGGAATTTAGGGAAAGACATGTGTTTGGGAAATTTGGGGAAATAGCTAGGGATTTGCATGGAGAAGAGATTGGGAATTTGGGGAAATGCATGCGTTTGGGAAATTTGGGGAAAAACCTAGGGATTTGTTTGGAGAAGAGATTGGGAATTTGGGGAAAGGCTTGCTTTACATAGGTTAGGGTTTTCTATAAATAACTTTAAAAAGTAAGGCTTTTAATTAGTTGTTTAATTTTTAAATATAATTATATTTTGCAAACAAATGAATTTGTAACTAAATATTTAGTCTGGAAAGAATTAGTCATAGTTGCCTATAATAGTCTGGCGGGAACTAATAATTTGGGGGGAACATGAATTTTTCAACTTAAATTGGCAACTAAACTGAATTTAGTTGCTGTATATAATTTTTTGCAACTATTGTTAATATGAACACAAACATTTGTTGCTAAAAATACCTTGGGGCCCTTGTAATTATTGTCCAAATATGGGATATTTTGGTAATTTCATTTTTCTGTAACTAATCATAATAGTTACTAATAAATTCCTAATTATTCGCAACTAATTTAGCTACTAAGGGGTAGTTGCAAAAAATTGTTTTTGTAACCAATAATGTAGATGCAAATTGTCAAATTATGGAGGGAAAAATTGTAACTAAATTTATTAGTCACTAAAGCAACATGTTCTGCGACTAACAAAATAGTTGCAGAACATTAACTTTAGACGCCAAAAGTTGGAACATGTGGACTCCGAAATTTTAATCCTCTTTGGTTGACCAATGACAATTTAGTTGGTAAATGTAGCCTTTTTGCAACTAATTCTGGTTAGTTGCTAAAAAATTGGCTGCAGAATGTAGTTTTTCTTGTAGTGTAGCTAAGACCAAATACAACTTGAAATATAACACTCTGTCCAACTGGTTCATAGTATGATGACTAATTAGCGTTCAAATGGTCAATAATCAAAACTTTGGCATGCAATGTACTAAGGATGTAATGGGACCTCAATTGAATAATTTGTTAGCCATTTCGTAATCAGAACACATTGTCTTATCAGGTGATATTATTCAAACATATGTAAAGTGTTTATTTAGTCTATATGAAATTACCTATTCTTTAAGCCATTTCCACTGGCTTGAGGGAGGAAACATCTTATGTGGCATATAACCAGAACCATGTTGAGACAAACAAACAACTCGAATTGAATTCTCCATCAGAGGATGAACTCCTTTAGTGACCCTGACACCAATGTCATGGCAAGTGACAAAAAAGTGACCAACTCCTTGAGTTTTGTTCCAATATGGGTACTTGGAAATCAACTTCTCCACATGCATTTTGACAATGGTAGAAATTCCCAGCTGCATGGAAAACAATGAGATGCGCAATAGAAAGAAAAAGTAAATAACACAACATATGTAATCAACAAGAACCAAAGTTGGGAAGAATTGAACAAAATCAGGAACTTCATAAAAGGATAAGCATTGAACAGTTCTTTCTTTTATCTAATTAATATTTGATGAAGATGATTCTTTAATCTAATTACAAGAACTCATGACCTCTTATAAGTTTCTATTTTCTGCAAAATCATAACTCCATATTTAGATTTAAAGAGAACAAGAAAATCATAGTCAAATAACAATTTCAGGTACAAAATATCAGTGCAAAAACTGATAGCAAAGTCATACTTTGTCATTCAATGATCATATTAAAATTAATTAATGTTCAATTCCTATCTCGAACTGCAATAAGACCAGATGAATTCATACCTTGCCTCTCATTTGATGACAGGAAATAGGGATAAAGAAAAGATGAGTCATGTTGGAACCGTTAGTCAAGAACATGCTTTTTTTTATACTTTGAAAGAAATAACCTTCACTTGCATATGTCTCGGTAAGATTACTTGGCGTCTGGTAATAAGAATTCGGATCCCCATCTGGGTACACAAACGCCTTAAATTCCCTCTCCATTTGTGCGTAGTTGAGCTTGAAAACCTGCGGTGAGTGAAAGATTTCAGCATAAATGTCGGAATCTTGAAGCATTTCGGGCTTAAAAAAAGCTCAAGGAAGTGAGAAAATTGAAAGAATCTTGAATTGAGTTAAGCTTCATCAACTAAATAGTAAATGTAGAGAGAGAGAAACTGAGAAAGTAAATGTATACATGAGAAGAGTTGGCGTTGGGAATTAGAAGTTCGTGAAACACCAGTATGCAGAAAGCTAAGAGAGCACCTCCAATAGGGTAGGCTCTTCTTAAGCTTGGGTTAAAGAGGAACGTTAACTAGGGAGGGAGGCGGTGTTGAGAAATTATTGGAAAAATCGGATGCATTTTCTTAGGAAAGTATTTTCTGGAAAAATGTCTGGTGTGGGAACTGTTGAAAGAGATGAGGGAGTCAAAACAGGGTCGATTTTCTGGATTTGTTGGCGGCAAAGTTAGTTGTTACTGGTACTGTGGTACAAATTTCTTTGTCACGCACAACACCGTTTTAAGTGGAAATAAAAGGGTGCGGATAAGAGACAAGAAAAACAGCTAAAATAAACATCATATAAACTTTTTGGTAAAAGGAAAAAAACAATGTTTAATTATTTCCATTGTACTTGGATTTTTTTTTTTTTTTAATATATTGTGAATGTTGTTGGATCCTGGTTGTTGCATTTCAGTATGGATAGACGATTAATTTATAGTGTCGAGAAGACAGTTAGACAATATTATTTAAATTAATTTACTACTTTATTCTATCTTAAATAGTTATTATCAATTAATATTATATTAAATGAACTTAATTGTCTTAGTGTCTAAGGTATCGTTAATCATGTAACAAATTAACAATGACAAGTTATATACCATTTCGTATATATTTTAATCTGCCTTTTTATTCAGTATTCAATGCAAATTAGGGCTTTCTCCAATTTAATAAATAGTTTTGTCTTCTTCAATTATTTTTATTTAATTAAGGGGCATAAAACTGTGAAGAACCAAACTTGTTGACTTCTTGATGTAATCATGTAGGTAAAAATAAACCTCACTTTTCCTTATGTAAATGCCAACTAGAAAATAAAAAGCATATGTTATAAAGGCACTATATCAAATGAAAAACTACTTATAAGATCTTTTTTTTTTTTTTTTACATTATAATTTGACCTTCTTAATTGACGTTTCATTCATTTAACTTCCACAACTGTCATGCCTCCACTCCTGGGGCTAGAATAAGTCACTCGATCTCTAGAGTAGATCCGCTCGAGCATTAGAAATTTAAATTTTCTTTCAACTAACAAATAAATTAACTAATTATATCTTATAAAAAAAAGAAAGAAATAAAATAAAAAGTTTTTAAAAAGAATTGACTGAATTGAAAAACACACCAATCATAATAGAAAATATGTAAAACAAAGGAAAAGTTTACTTGATGAAATGTTTTTTCTGCAAATCCTAGGGAGCGGTGGACAGCATAGATACTACTAGAGCAATTGACATGTTTGAAGGATTATTTGGGATTTTTAGGACCTTCATGTTTAAGGCCTAAAGGCTTCTTCCCTAGAGCAAGTGAAGGCTTTTGTTGATTTTAATCCATTGATTTTTTGAGGGGATGGCATGCAATGAGTTATGAATGCTGAGTCTTAGTGCAGGAAAATGTTATATCAAGATTTTGAATCTTTCTTAACTAGTGACTTCATTTTTGCATAACTGTATCGCATTCACTTTTTAGATTTTCCTCAAAATTTATATTAGATTTCCTCGTTAGTGGCTGAGATATGGATTGCTATGAAAGCCACTAGTAAACATTCATGTAAGCAAATTTTGATTTTATTTTTCTCTCTTCTTCTTATTAGCATTTGCCTTATGCATCAATTATGATTTTCATAGAATTGACTATATTTTTGTCCATGGATATAATTAATCTAAAATTTCAACTTTTTGTTATTCTAATGGAGATGGATGTATTTTGTTTCTATAAGCTTCATAGCCTAAGAGGAATAAGATGGAGATTATGATGTTGATAAATGGACAGTATAGTAAAATCTGGTCTGCAATATTCAGCTCTGGACCGAATCAAATCTTAAGCGTGTTCAAATTGTTGCCGACAAGAAGTCATGTTGATGTACTGATGTTGTATTGTTGTTGAATTGTTTTTAACTTCTTAAATTGATGTTCATGTTGTCTGTATTGATGTTGAACAGGTGCAAATTGATTTTTTTTTTTTTTTCAGCATATATTTCATGTTTCTAACACAGGCCAGAATTGTAATTTTGGGATTTGAAATTCGTTTCAAAACCTTTCAGCTTCTAGTATGATTGTTTTTTCCAATGAGTTTTATTATCTTTTGTTGATGTTGATTTTAGCACCAACTAATGACACGTGCGTAAAATTGATTGTCAAGAGACACACGTGATTATGGATGAAATGTAGAGTAAATGCAAAAATGAGAGCTTTTTAAAGTGGTTCGGATGCTAAGGTAGCAAATCTACGTCCACTGATAGTTTGTATTAGAATCGTGGGTCAGGTCGCACAGCGGCTGACTACAAATAATTGGGGAAAGTAAATACAAAATATAACGATAAGAGAGAGAGAAAGCTAGTTCAGAGTGCAAGAAGGCCGAATCCTTTAATGAAAAGATCCTTCCTTTTTATAGTGAGATGAGTGCAGATAACCATCATTCAATCCGTGGGTTGGTGCGAATGTCAGGACTAAATCTGGCTTTACTCACATTGCCCATCCCAAGCTGATTTTACGCAATTTAGAGCAGGGAAATAGACACGTGGGAGCTCCACAGCGCCTTGCATGCCTGACGTGTGCTTACCGTTCTGACGGGAGCAGGTCACCCCCATCACGTGATTTCTCACGTCAGCCCTGATTTCCCAGGCATACATCTTTTGAGGTCGTTGTTTCCTCAATCAAACCAAAGTCTATTATTTTGCGCTTATAAGTCACAAGAAAAACAAATTGCAACAACCTTTTTTGTTTTCTTTATAGCTTTATAGAACAATACCACAAATGGCTCATAAACCCTCATTGGAATCAAAAGAACAATTTTGTATGTGATTGCTAGAGATTGAGCATTTGAAAGATTGGAATTTGGTTCAAGGGTTAATGAATTTATGGTTGGGGGCAATTTCGTCCTAAAAATTATGGGAAAATATGGTTGGGCTAATCCTTAGACACTTTCTGGACCTGAGCTAGATTCAATTCCCACCTCAATTTTGAGTCATTTCTTATATTACTCCTTATTTCATCCTACTAAAAACAGAAAAAACAAAAAACAAAAAAAAAAAAAAAAAAAAAATCTTTTAACTTTAGGAAAGGAAGAAATAGAGGAAGAGAGATGCCGGAAAAAAAAAAAAAAAAAAAAAAAAAAAAAGAGTGCATGGATTGTTATACAATAAGGTCTTCTGTTTTTTTTCTAGTTAAGAATTATCATCTGAACATTTATTTTGTTTTTTGATAAAAATATTTTAAGGAATTAAAAGATTAAAACTATTTAATAGGATTAAGAAATCTATTTCTTTTAGAAAAATTATAGAATATCCCTAGTTGCAGAAAAGGAGTTTAAGGGAAAAATAAAAAGACTAAAACATTCTTGGTTTGAGAAAAAAGAGTTTAAGGAGTTAGAATTGATTTGATATTTTTTTTTTAATTGAAAAATGAGTAATAGTATATTATTTTGACTCAAAGGCCGCTGTACTATCATGTACTTTATGTAGGAAAAGTAAGAAAAAACCTTGTGTATTTGGTTTATTATTTTGGATAGGATTTTGAAGATAATATTGGGTTGTTAGATAGGGGAGTATTACGAGGTAAACTTTAAAAATTTATGAAAAAACTCTTAGGTTTATTAATTTAATTAAAGACCCTAATATATAAAATGATAAAAACATCCCCACCACCTGCAGTGCCAGATTCCGGCCACCACCGCGGGAATCTGGCCAGAAAATTTTGTTACAACACAGACCGGTCGGATCTGTGCCGTAACGCGTCGTTATGGCCTTTTCTGACCAAATCCACCACGGATCTGGCCGAAAAAGGTCAGATCAACGAATTGCTGTGGCTGCGACAATCGAAAAAGGCTAAAACGATGGCCAAAGATATGGCCGTTGTTGACAACAGATCTGGCCATTACCGGCTATTTCCGGTGGTTGTGTGAGTATTGTGATAAATTCTGGCTACCACCGGCGGTGGTTGCCAGAATCTGGCAGGTATTGAAGGGTGGGGGTGTTTTTGTTAGTTTTTAAACTTTTTTCTAGGGGGTATTTAATGAAATTAATAAACTTATAGGGTCTCAAGGAATAAAAAAATAGACTAATATTTTGGGAATAACGTGCCAAACAACATTTGAAAAATAGGATTGAGAATATAAATAAAAACAATAAGTCAAACGCACCCTTAATATTTACAAAACCAAAAAAATAATAATTTACTAACTGAAAAATGTACAACAATATTTAATTTACACCATTTTTTTCATAAAACCAAAAAAAAATCAATTTACTAACTAAAAAATGTGTAACAGCAATATTTGATTTACACAATTTTTTTTAAATAAAAAATAATAATATATATTATCTTAAATCTTTAAACATATATAATTTTTTCCACTTTGTTATAACAAAGTTCTCTGTAAAATATTTTTTTTTTACATATTCATCGTGTGATATAGAAGTGCAAATTTTTTTCTCAAACCAAGGGTATTTTAGAACTTTCATCAATCTCTTTAAACAATTTTTTCTCAAACCAAGGGTATATTTGTCTTTTAATTAGTCTCCTTAAACTCCTTTTTTTTTTTTTTTTCAAACCAGAGGTATTTTCGTCTTTTTATTGGTCAATGTTTAGATTTAGCGGTGGAAATTGACGGTAGGGGAAGTGTTGTGTAATATGCCATATTTTTGGACCAAACGAAGTTTTGGATACTTCAGGGAGGAAAATGCTTTAATCCTAAATTTTATATCAACTTAACATTAATGAGAAATCTCCACTAAAACAGTAAAAAATTTCCCTGTGCATACTGAATGTAATACCATAACCAAATCCATACATTAGTATTTAATACGGCATTGACTTAACTATGATCCACTATAAATTGTCTAATTTTCCAAAAGTCTTACCACATGATTTACATTAATTCAAACACAATAAATTAATTCAATTATAACCTTATCATAAATTAAATTTTCAAAAAACAAAAATCAATAATGAAAATTTAAAGAAGCCACATAGCTTTTCAATTCAAATATACATTATGAATGCAACTGCATGTTTTATATTTATTAGGATAATGAAAAACTTGATAATTTTTGTACATATATTTTATTTGAATTATATAATTATTGAACAATCTGTTAGAAACTCAAATGGTGGATATATGAGCATGATAACTTATATATTGTTCTATATCTCCATGAATATGTTTTGCTTATATTGTATCATTTGGTCTACATATCAAATCTAATAACATTCAAGATTTTGCAACAAATTCTAGTTTTTTTCTCTTTCTAGTTTTGTATCTCTTAGCCCTAGGAGGTCTTCCTCCACAAATAGGTGTTTTTTTTTTTTTAGGAAAAACTCCATTTATCACGACGTGGAGGCCTTTATGTATATTACCCATCTCAAGTTTTAGAAAGTGAAACCTAGATATTGACTTTGGGTGTATTATACTAAAATACCTTCAAAGTTTCGAAAATCATTCAAATTCTATCATTTTGTCAACCCCCGCTATAACTTCCATCATAATTAATGTAAAATGACTTTTTTAACTCTAGAACTTGTCTTTTCTATCTTTTACAATATCAAAAAATTAAAACTCGTTGTTTAATAATTGTAAAGAATATAGAATAAAAAGATTAAAATAAAATAGAGAAAGATAACGGACTTCGAAAAATAGAGCAGGAATAAAAGAGTTAAGATGATATTCTCTTCTCATTCAATTGTTTCTCAAATCGGTTAAAAAATATTGCAAAAGGGGTTAACCGTAATGTAACATACTTTTAACAAAAGAAAACTTGTCTACCATCCTGGCCACATGTCCGCAAAGTGAGTGGACACGTGTCATATTGAATAAATTCTTTTAACTCTTAATTTTTTGCAATTTTATTTTCGATATAAAGACCTTCTTGACCTCCTGTCATTTGATTTAACCACTTCAACAATTATGGTTTACTAACATCAGGGGAATTTTTGTCGTTTTTAATACCTTAGGGGTTTTCTTAGTTCTTATTCCAAATAATATTATTAATAATTTAAATAAAAGGGTATATCTGTGATAACTGGTGTTCTGGAGGGTACTAAAGGTAACTGAACAAATTACCAGTTCAGTTGTGCTAGTGAACGGAGTTATGATTAAACACGACCAATCAAACGAGAATTTCTCCGATCACTTATTAGGGCTTTGAAGTTTGAATTCTTTTTCTGTGCGTTTGTTCTCAACATTTGTGGAATCTGACCTAAGAATTCGGATAATCAATTGGCCAGCGCCTCTTTTCAACCCTTCTTTTCTTCTGCATTTTGTTTTTACTACGTTGCCCTGAGAAACTGTTTAGTTTACTCTCAATTTAAGCAATGATTTAGGGTTTACTTGCTCACAATCTTCGCTCAATTTTCGTCTCTGTGCATAGAGAGAAGAGGTTGGTTACCAACTGTTTGTGATAATGCCCGTAAGAATTGTTTTTTCTTTTAAGTGTTCATGTTTATATGCTTTTAGAAGGATGAACACTTTTCTTTGATTATGTCTGATTGAACAAGCTTGTTCAAAATTTTAAAACCTGTTTGGTCTTTTTGCAAGTTATGGTGTGGATGGATTAAAATGAGTGTTGCTTAAGTACCCAATATATACCCAGTTATTATTTGCCTTTACAATTCTAGTTTCAATATAATTTATTGAGTAGGAGAGCTGTTTCTGAGTGTCTTAGTATATAATTCAAACAGATGCTTCTTCTCTTAGCACCGAATACTTACCGTTGTTATTGATTTTCACGAATGTAGGCGGGTTTTGGAGTAATGGACGAACAGGTTGTCCTATCAGAAGGAGCTGATCAAGAAGAGGTGAGGTTTCGAGTTTGCTTTCTTGTTTTAATTGTCATGAATTTAGTTGACTCTAGACTATCATAAGTAAAACTTGTCATGCATTTAGTGGACACGGGACAAATCTTAATTATGGATAGGGAGTAAAATGTTTTCTAGTCTGTTTGTTATTTAAGACAACTGGACCCGTTGAGGACGTTTGATGTATTAAGATCATTCAAAAACAATGTTTTCGGTAACTGAGCAATAGACTTGTTTACTACTAATAAACCGAAGGCTAGATCTGTTTGATTCTGGACTGTTAAAGCTGCAAAATTGTTTGTTTGATTTACTTGTTGTAGTATCTGACAAATCTGTTATTTATGTAATCATTAAGGATGAAAGCTCAACTTGTGGTAGCACTGTTGGAACTGAAGATGTGGACTTTACTGGTGCCTTTACAACTGAAATGGTATATAACTTATTGTTTTCTTATTGGTTTAATAATTAATTAGTTGGCTTTTGACATGTACTTGCTCTATCTGTAGGTTTTCAACAGTAGAGAAGAGCTAATTGATTGGGTAAGAGATGTTGGAAAGAGAAATGGGCTGATTATTGTGATTAAAAATTCTGATGTTGGTGGAGATGGTAGGAGACCCAGAATTAGTTTTGCTTGTGAAAGGAGTGGTACCTATAGACGTAAGTATCAGGCAGGTGAACAACCGAAACGGCCTAAGACAATCGGAACAAAGAAGTGTGGTTGTGCATTTGAATTGAAGGGGCTTAAATTAGCAACTGATGATGATTGGATGTTAAAAGTGATATGTGGGGTACATAACCATCCTATTACACAACATCTTGAGGGTGAAGGGCACTCATACGCTGGTAGACTTACAGAACAAGAGGCCAATATATTGGTTGATATGTCAAAGAACAATATTAGCCCAAAAGAGATATTAAATACATTGAAGCAAAGGGATATGCATAATGTCTCTACAATAAAAGCAATTTACAATGCAAGACATAAATTTAAGGTTGTAGAACAAGTTGGACGGTTCCATATGCAACAACTCACCACTAAATTGATGGAGCATAATTATATTCAGTGGCATCGGAATGATGAGGATGAATGCATAAAGAACTTGTTTTGGGTGCATCCTTTTGCAATTGGATTGCTACAAGCTTTTCCAAGTGTGCTAATTGTGGATTGTACATACAAGACTAACATGTATCCCTTTTCATTGTTGGAGATAGTAGGTATAACATCAACTGAGTTGACATTTTCAGTTGCTTTTGCGTATCTTGAGTCTGAACGAGAGGATAACTACACTTGGGCTTTGCAAAGACTAAGGAGTTTGATGGAAGATAATGCATTGCCAAGTGTCATCGTGACAGATAGGGATTTGGCTTTAATGAATTCCATTCAGGAGGTATTTCCAAGAGCAACTAATCTTCTTTGTAGATGGCATATTTCAAGGCATGTCTCAACTATTTGCAAGAAGCTATTTGAGACTAAAGAGAGGTGGGAGGCCTTCATTTGCAGCTGGAATGTATTGGTGCTTTCTGTCACTGAACAAGAATATATGCAACACTTGAGTGCTATAGAGAGTGATTTCTGTAGATATCCTCAAGCACTTGATTATGTAAAGCAAACATGGTTGGTTAGGTACAAGGAGAAGTTTGTTGCAGCTTGGATAGACTTGACTATGCATTTTGGAAATATCACAATAAATAGGTAAATTTGAATGTGTACACTAGTCACATTTAATCTTACTTTTGTTTCAATGGCTGATTGTTGTACAATTTGTTTTATTAGGGCAGAGACTACACATGCGAAATTGAAGAGGCTGCTAGGAGTACCCCAAGGCGATTTTGAGACATTATGGACAAAGGTGCATGCTTTGTTAGAACTACAACACATTGAGATCAAAGCTTCATTTGAAAGGAGCTTGACTATCGTGCAACATAATTTTAAAGATCCCATTTTTGAGGATTTAAGGGGGTCTGTCTCATTAAACGCAATGAACATTATACTTGGTGAGTTCAAACGAGCTGATTCCACTGGTTTAGATGCCTCCGCATGTGGATGTGTATTTCGACGTACACATGGTTTACCATGTGCTCATGAGATAGCAAGGTACAAACAGGAAAATACACCCATTCCTTTATTTTCAGTAGATCCCCACTGGAAGAAATTAGACTCTGTGCCGATTACCCTGGATACTACGCTGGAGTTGAGTTTTACTGCTGAGATAGAGATGTTTATCAAGCGTTTCAAAGACACTGATGGTCCCGGTAAGCTATACCTGTTGAAGAAATTGAGAGAGTTAGCGAATCCAGCATCAACTTTATATTCAGCATCAACTGCGCTTGGTGAGCATGAGGTTAAAACTAAGACGCAAGGTTGGCCCTCTTTAAAGGTTGATATGTCCGCTCAGGATCCATCAGAATTCGAGTATGTATTCTCTACACTGGATAGTGATTCAGCTCAGGTTAGGACTTCAAGTACAACTTCAGTGGAATTGAGAGGGAGGCAAAAAGAGAAGGTGTATCGGGCACGATCACTGCAGCCTATATCATTCATTGATTCATTTCCAGTTGGATTGAGACCTTACATACATGATGTACAAGATGTTATTGCTGATGGTCATTGTGGTTTCCGAGTTGTAGCTGATTTGATGGGTATGGGCGAGGATAATTGGGCTCAGGTAAGGAAGGACTTGATGGATGAATTGCAATCTCACAATGATGATTACACCCGACTCTATGGTAATACTGATAGAGTGCAGAAGCTCATACTTTCACTGTCATGTTTTCAGAGCAATCCAGGGAATGACCACTGGATGACCATGCCTGACACTGGGCATATAATTGCTTCTAGGTATAATATTGTTGTATTACATATATCCCAGCAGCAGTGCTTTACATTTCTCCCACTCAGATCTGTGCCTTTGCCGCGCACTTCCCATAAAATTATCGCAATTGGATTTGTAAATGAATGTCATTTTGTAAAGGTATTTATCTTAGAATTAAGTATAACTAAAGAATTTTTCCAACCATGAGTATGCCATCATTATCTTTGTTTGGGAAGTGACATTGCTTGTGCTTTATGCAGGTCCTTATGCATCCAGGTTCACCCATGCCACCTATAGCATCTGATTGGTTTAAACATCGTAATCCTTGTGCACAAGGCTGGGAGGTGCCATATAAAGCTCATATCAGAGTTTTCAAGGCCCTGGTTACAGATAATTTCTAAACCTGATTTCAGATGATGAATGATGTTGTCCTGTTGGATTAGATGCACAGCCAGACATTTTACTCTTTTAGGCTGTCTTGTCAAATCATTACAAACCCTCAGGACTAATCTATTAGTTCTTATATAAGGCTGTCTTATTGCTGCTACGTCTCAACAATGAAATTGGGGTATGTCCTATTTTTGCTATGCCCGAGCATATAAGCAATCGTATATTGATATTCCTGTTTAAATTGATGTTATTAATTTGCAAATAATGCATACATTAATAAACACATACAACAATTGTTTCTGAATGGGAAATCTGTGTATTTGACCCATACTTGGTTCAGTATAAGACCAAGATTACTGCCAATCATGTTGTTGATGTGTGGTTTGGTAAAACTCTATACAAGTGTCAGATTACTTGTACTTAGCACTGACATGGTTTTCTTTTGATATCATCAAATGTGAACCAGAAGACACCGCACTCAAATTTCCACTTCCCAAAAATATCAAGCTTGCTTGATATGGCACACAACCTATCTAGATATTTCTTTGGAACAAGTTGATTTGATGAACTTGAAATAGTGGTAATGTTGAGAAGAAAATCTTAATTAAAGGTAGTTAAAGCATAGCCGCCTACTATGCCATTTTTATACTTGCATTCTCAATGTATAGGCAGAAAGCAACATAGATCATTACAGAAAAGAGAAGATTTGTCATGCTGAAAGGATTGACTTGGGAAATGAGTTTAAGTTTTTGTTTTCTTTGATTTTTGCGTGATAAGAAAAAGGGTCAAATTGATGTACATTTAGGCTAAAGCAATAGTCTTAGCTTTGAGATTATAAAAGCAGTGATAATTGTCTTGCAATCAAATGGAGGGGAAACAGAACTGCAATGGGTAGAGAAATAATTAGTTCAAGTTAACCCGTCACATTTTTACTTTCCATAAGAAATAATGGAAATTGAGGCTTTATCAAGTTGATTCTTGCCCAAGTAATGACTTCAATTGCTTGTCTAATGTTACAAGTTAACCCGTCACTTTTTTTTTTTGTTTTTTGTTATACAAAAAAGTTATATACTCTTGGTTGGGAAGAGCCGCTGAAAGTTAACTGGAGTGGATGCTCAAAAAGTAGATGTAACCATGCTTAATTTTATCTAAGTTTCATTTTAGAAAAGTATTCATCCCTTGTTCATTCTGTTTGTTGATTTTCCAATATGTTTGTTTGGAAGACTTGTACTGGTTGCTAACAATGGGACTGAGATACTTTTCACTGATAGAAATCAGGTATTATTTTTCCTCCCCACCAATTTCTGTTATTGAAGCTAACCATTGAAGTACTATGTACCTATTTTTTGTTAACAGACTGATAAGCTTTTCATATCAAATAGAACCGGGTTTGAGTGATCTGTTGTTTGTGAAATTTCTGGCTGCTCCTTTCACAAGAAAAGCAGGAGGAAAAACAAAAATTTTGCTAGATACGCCGTGGTCAGCATTGGCATCTTGATGAAGAACCTCTTCTTTTCTGTATGACCAGCAATAAGAAAATTGATGATGGTACATCCAATTGCCTCTTATAGTCTTATATATTTGTTTCTGATGATAATTGTCTATCTTTGGGTTGAACCAGATATCTTGGAAGACAAAACTGAGGAAGACCATTCTTTCTGTGGACTGTGGGACATTATCTATGCAAGGAAGCCTTATTGCTATGATCAAGAATCCTTGTCCGTGTGTTTTGACAGGGAGGAATTGTTACTTATTAGGAAGAAAACTGGGATAAATTAGATTGAAGACGATAAAAATGGATGAATTATATTAGAAAATACCAGTTAGTTATAAAATCAGTTAGTTTAGTTAGTTAGTTGTACAGTTAGGATTAGTTGTAACTAATCTTTATTAATTAGTTTTAGTTGTTAAAACTTTGTAACAGTTTTTTTAGTTTTTCATCTCTGTATATAAACACCTATACTTCATGTATTTTTTTTTTCCCAATTATTTTTCATGGTATCAAAGCTATGTTAACCTAGCTAAAATTCATCAATGGGAAAACTGAAATCGATCCCACTCTAAATCCATCCAATCCTTATTTTCTTCAACCTGATGAAAATCCAGCTCTTGTTCTGGTATCTTTAGTGCTTACGGGTACCAATTACCATTCTTGTGCATGAGTGATGAAGATGGCTCTACTTTACAAGAACAAATTGAAGTTCATTGATGGTTCTCCACAAGCGTAGCCTTCAAGCATTGATCCTTTGTATCCCGCTTGGGAGCGATGTAATGCTATGTTACTGTCTCGGTTGACTCATTCTCTTTCACCTTCTATTACTCATAGTATTTTGTGGATAGACAAAGCTTTTGATGTGTGAAATAATCTCCGAGAAAGGTTCTATCAAGAAGNAGAAAACTGGGATAAATTAGATTGAAGACGATAAAAATGGATGAATTATATTAGAAAATACCAGTTAGTTATAAAATCAGTTAGTTTAGTTAGTTGTACAGTTAGGATTAGTTGTAACTAATCTTTATTAATTAGTTTTAGTTGTTAAAACTTTGCAACAGTTTTTTTAGTTTTTCATCTCTGTGTATAAACACCTATACTTCATGTATTTATTTTTCCCAATTATTTTTCATGGTATCAAAGCTAGGTTAACCTAGCTAAAACTCATCAATGGGAAAACTCAAATCGATCCCACTCCAAATCCATCCAATCCTTATTTTCTTCAACCCTGATGAAAATCCAGCTCTTGTTCTGGTATCTCTAGTGCTTACGGGTACCAATTACCATTCTTGTGCATGAGTGATGAAGATGGCTCTACTTTTCAAGAACAAATTGAAGTTCGTTGATGGTTCTCCACATGCGTAGCCTTCAAGCATTGATCCTTTGGATCCCGCTTGGGAGCGATATATAACGCTATGGTACTGTCTTGGTTTGGTAGACTCATTCTCTTTCACCTTCTATTACTCATAGTATTTTGTGGATAGACAAAGGTTTTGATGTGTGAAATGATCTCCGAGAAAGGTTCTATCAAGAAGACATTTTTTGAATTTATGATCTTCAAGAAGAGATTTATGCTTTTAAGCAAGGAGATCGAAATGTTACAAACTGTTTCATTGAACTGAAGATTCTTTGGAAAGAATTGCTAAATTTCAGACCTATTCTTTCATGTTCTTGTGTAAATCCTTGCTCTTGCGGTGCTTTTGCTATTGTCAAAACTTATCAGAACAATGATTATGTCATTCGTTTTCTTAAAGGTCTTGGTGATCAGTTTGCTATTGTCAGACCACAGATTATGCTCATGAAACCATTATCTTCCATCAATAAAGTTTTATCTTTGGTGTTACAGCAAGAAAGACAAATGAGTTCAAGAGTCTCCATGGTGTTGCTAATAAGAGTGTTTGAAATGATCAATCTAACAAGAAACCTGCTAGCACAAAGTCATCACTAGCATGTCAATGGCAAACGTTTTTTGGCTTTATGTGTAAACCACGTCATACATTGAAACATGTTATAAGAAGCATGGCTATCCGCCTGGATATAAACCCAGAAATTACAATCAACTACTCATAATGGGTTTTTGCATAAGGAAATGAGTCCTCTGAAAACTCTGCCACAATCCTGATCTACCAAAAGGGAACCCGAGCACTCTAGTGTTTCTCTTACTCAAGAGCAAGTAGCATCAAGTATTAGCCTTACTCCAATCCTCAACATTGAGAAATTTCCATTGTCACCAATTAAGTTGCCACTCAACATCAGAATTTCACCCTGTTTCACCATCTCTATCAGGTAATCGATTTTCACTCTCTTGTTATTTAAATCCGAACTATGGATTGTGACACAAGTGCCACAGATCACCTTACTCACTCTTGTCTCATTTACCACATATAAGCAAATCAAACTATTTCAGTAACCTTACCAAAGGACATCGAATCACCACACACTATTTGGCACTGTATTTTTCACAAACAGTTAATTTTCTGATGTTCTTTACATACCCAAGTTTCTCTTTTAATTTGATTTCTGTCACAAAACTTACTTCTTACTTCATGTTTGTTTTGTTTTTCAAAACACTTGTGGCTTATATAAGATCTAACCTCGTGGAAGACAATTGGTCAATTGAATGCAAGATGGCTTGTAACAATGCATAGGTCCTTCACCAATCCTTCTTTTCCATCTCATGTTTCTTTACCAACACAAATACTGCTATTGAGTCTGGCATTATAGGCTTGGCCATTTTCATATCAAGAGTCAAACTTTTAGCTCCATATATACTAACTCTTACGTTTCATGCAATTCAAGTCGTACTATTTGTCATTTTGCTAAGCAAAATAAATTGTCATTTTCCTAAGCAAACAAATTGTCATTTCTGTAAGTCACACTAGATCTAATAAGTGTTTTTATATTATACATGCCGATATTTGGGGTCTTTTTCTACTCCCTTTGTACATGGCCACAAATATTTTTAACCATTGTTGATGATTGTACTCGACAAAAATAGATTTTCTTAATGCAAAATAAGTTAATACAGGCATTTGCTTCATCTCTCTTTTCTTTTGTGAAACTTAATTCTCTACCAAGATTAAAAATCTTCGAAGTGACGATGGTTGTGAATTTAATATGCCAATTTTTTATGCTTCTAAAGGAACAATTCATCAAACTTCATGTGTGAACTCCCAGAAAAATGGCATGTGGAGCGTAAACATCAACACATACTGAATGTGGCTCGATCATTGCTATTTCAGTCCAATTTACCCAAAAAATTTTGGAACACATTGTTCTCATGCAGGTTATGATTAACAAACTTCCTTCTCCATTTTACAAACATAAATCACCTTTTGAACTTTTATAATAAACCTTCAGATTTTGCTAGTCTAAAGGTATTCGATCTCACTTTGTTTGCATCTACCTGTCTGCTAATAGGGCGAAGTTTGATTTTCGAGCTCGAAGGTGTGTTTTCTGGCTATAAATCTAGAACTAAAGGCTTCACTTCTAGACATTGCTTCAAAAGAAATCTTTCTCTCACAATGTTATATATCATGAAACAATTTTTCCCATTCACTAAACAAGCCTCGCTTCCATCAGTATTACCTCAAGAATCTCATTTACCTGATTTGTATTCCACAGTTCCTCAATCGTCATCTTTACCATCTCCCGTTTCCCCATCCGTCCACTGTTCTTCGTCACTCACATAGAGTTCGTACAAGTCGAATTATCTATAGGATTTTTATGGTATCTTGCAACTTCAGATGATCTTCATCTGTACTCAGGTACACTGTATCCTTTATCTTCTGTTATTTCTTAATCAAATTTATTTCCTTATATAAGCATTTTACATTAGCCATTTATGCTACATTCGAACCCAAAAGTTATGTCCAGCCATTAAGCATCAATGTGGAAAGAGGTCCTGCAAGTTGAAATTACTGCTCTTGAACAGAGCAATACATGGGTTCTCACTGATCTTCCCATTGGTAAGTCTACAATTGGTTGCAAATGGGTTTATAGAATAAATACAAGGCTGATTGTCTATTGAAAGAATAAGGCAGACTAGCTACAAAGGGGTATACATAAACTAACGGTGTTGATTATTTTGACATTTTTTCTCTTGCTGCTAAAGTCACTACTGTCAGATTACTTTTAGCATTGACAGCTGAATCAATGGTATCTAAGCAACTTGATGTTATAATGCTTTTTTTCATGGTGATCTCACTGAGAAGTTTACATGGATCTACCTCTAGGTTTTAATTCCTCTAGTCCTCATCAAGTTTGTAAGCTTCAAAAGCCCTTTATGGCCTTAAACAAGCTAGTCGCCAATGATTTTCCAAATTAGCCTCTGCCCGATTTCTTTGGGGTATCCCAGTCCCTTCTGATCACTCATTATTTTTCAAGCATGCAACTGATTTATTACGCTTTATCTTGGTTATGTTGATGATGTTTGATTCTTGTTGGAACCATTGTTTTAAAACCCGGACCGGAGGGCAAACCGTTTTGCTCCGGGTACCGGTTCAATGATCCAACCGGTTGGACCGATGATGTCAGCAATATTTTATTTTTAAAAATTACTATTAACCCTTAAATCTCAATATATTACAAAATTCCCTAAAGTTCAAATTGGTCCCTAAAATTTTTATTTATTCCAAAAACCAATAAAACACCCAATTAATCCCTGAACTTTTGATGTATTCAAATACCCCTATAAAATTACAAAGTAACCTCATAATTAAAATATTTCAAAAACCCCCTGAGACCTAAACCGGACCGAAGAAGCTACTAGTTCCCGATCCAACCGGTTCGACCGGTCGGTCGGTTTTAAAACAGAGGCTGGAACTAACTTGGTGGAAATTGATTAGTTTAAGCATATCTGACGAGCTTTCAAGATTAAAGATTAGGAGGATTTAAAGTTCTTGGGTTTGGAAGTGGCCAAGAACACCAAGGTGGTATTGCATTGCGTCAAGTAAATATGCACTTGAAATATTATTTGATTCTGGTTTTCTCGGTTCAAAGCTGCTAAGACTCAGATGGACTCCTTCTTGAAGCTTAGTGAAGACAATGGGGATCCTCTTCTTGATAATTCCTCTTATCGACGATTGATGGTCGATTACTTTACTTAAGACTTAACACCACTTGTCCATACAGCCTTGCGGTACAACAGTTGAGTCAATTTCTAGATAACCAAATTCCTCTCATCTCAAGTACTTATCGAGTTCGTACATCAAAGGGTCTCTTACATCTAGCTTATTCTTTCCAGTAATTCATCTTTGATTCCAGCATTTGTAATTCTAATTGGGCTGGTTGTGTTGACACTCGAAGCTCAGTCATTGGTTTTTGCATTTTTTGGTTCTTCCTTGATTGGTTGGCG